TCACCTGACTCGGGGACACGGCAACCGTCATAAATAGGAACCAATGGCCAAACATTGGAATGTTGAACATTGGAATGTTGTAATTATGGGGATGCTGCCATGGCCATAAGTAGTGGGGGCTGCTGGGGGCTCACGGGGGCCCCTCGCTCAGATTCTGCAGAGTTCAGAGAACCTTTGAATCCCGTTCCTGGCTGACCCCGCCCACTCCGCCTCTCCCAGGAGTCCCCATGCAGCCCGTTTTGGATGCCAGGTAAGTGCAGGCTGTGCACAGAGGCTCCGGGAGGATGAAAAATGGGTCTCCCGGAAGTTCGGGAAGGCCAGAAATGGGACAGATACCCCCTACCAACTGTGGTGGAGGAGGCTGACTAGGCCATACCCACCATGGCCACACCCACCCAGCAACCTGGCAGAGCGGTAGTCACCAACTGGTGGGCCAGGAGAAAATTTTGGTGGTCTAAAGAGAAATGTCTCCCCCCCAAGTACTCCCCCCAAAAGCAATCCAGGCTGCTCCGGAACACAAGGCTGTGCCACCCACATGACCGGTGCACCCGGGTGGAGGAGCAGCTGCTCTGGGATGACCAAAGCACCGGTCTTGTGACTACTGCAGCTCTGGAATATGGGACTGACTTTCCCACCGTCAGCAAGGCAACGTCTGTCAAAATTCCTGTTAGTGGTCCACAGGATTTAAAATTATGAGTTTGGTGGTCCCTTGAGGTCCAAGCCCACCCCTGGTCATAAGTATGAAAATTTGTCATAGGGCACTTTTAATGTGTATATCAATCGTGGGATTCAATTTTTTTTTACTACCAGTTCTGGGCATGGCAGGGGAAGGATACTGCAAAATCCCAATTCCCTCCCCACCCCACTAACCTGCTTTCCAGCTCCGTTCTCCTTTGCAGGGCAACCAAAGAAGACCCAGCCGATCAGCTGGGACTCAGGAGGCAGAGAATAGATGGGGGCAGGGCCAGTCAGAGGTAGTATTTTCTGGTTCTCCGAACTACTGTGTGGGGAGGGTTTCCTCTTTCAAATTCTTGCGAGTGCTTATTAGTCAAGACCTCACCTGGAAAAATAACACCTCCCTGGTGGTTAGGAAGGCTCAACTGGGACTCCATTTCCTTAGAGTCTTTGGAAAAAATCAGGTGGAAAAATGGCTGATGACCTCTTTCTATCGGTCTACAATAGAAAGTGTCCTCGCACGCTGCATAACAGTATGGTACAAACAGCGGAGGACAGGAAGGCACTTCAGAGAATGATTAATTGGGCACAAGAAACCACTGGAAGACAAGGCCAGGTCTCGCTGTTTCAACAGAGTAAGGAAGATACTGAGGGATGATTCTCATCCTGGTTAGTGTCTTCCCTCACTTTTACCATCAGGCAGAAGACAGAAGCAGAGCCAGCTGGACAAACAGGTTTAAAAGCAGCTTTTATCCAGGGGCTGTGAGACTCCTAAATACAACTAAAATTGCTCCATGCGTACATGGAAACATGACTGTTTTCTCCCTAATTACTTGTATAAGGACCATTTCCTACATTTTTCATAGTCTTTTTTTTTTAATTTTTATTGGTTTTTAAAACAAACATAAACAAACAAAACATAAAAACATCAAGCCATCTTCTATATATATATACACACAGTGTGCCGGTTGGTTTACAAATTGCTTTGTGCTTCCATTTCGTAGTCTTCAATTACAATTACATTGCATATAATCTCGTATTTTCAATCAAATATTAAATACATTAATATCATTATTAATCATTTGACTATACTTTTCATTCATGCTTTACAAAATAATCATATTTTACTTAATTTGTTTTATGACAGTTCATATTATCATCCCAAATCTATCCTAAAATCATTTTGTAGATATAATAAGAAAAGAATACATCTTTATATATTTAGTATTTTCTAAAAGCCTACATATTTCATTGCTATATTTTATTGTCTAACCATTACAACCAGAGTTGTAGTTCTCTGAATTCAGCCACTATATTTTTTTTTGACTTTTTCGCTGAGATCCTGGAACAAGAAAGACATACTTTTATTTTAATTATTTTACTTAATTATTTTTATTTTAACTGCTATAATAATTAAACGGATTCCCTTCCAGAACTGAGGTGGGAGACTTTCCTAAGGAGAAAAATAACCCTTTTGATATAAAAAGGGGCAGAGGGGAAGGTTTCTAAAAAGAAAAAGGTTTCGGTTTAAATGATCTCTCATGAAAATTTTCTTGGCAATCAGGGATTCCAAAAAAGGAGACAGAAAAATGAGTTCACATTTTTTTCAATAAAATGAAATAGTTTGCATTAATTTATTATGCCAACCAAACCTGTTGTAGAAAAGAGGGCTCATGGGATAGCTGCATTTAACCCAACTGTGACTCATTCAGGCAATGGTGACATCTCAGTCCCCAGGTTAAGAACAAGTTCTGTGTCCTAATACTGTCTTTAGCTTGAATTTCCCTTAAGTCAGAACTTGTACTTGCAAACAGGCTGCCTATTATCCAAGATGGCGGATGGGGTTCTCCTTCCTATTAGCTCAGAAGCTCCTCAGCACTGGATCAATACTTACAAGCATCTCCTGCACTGTTTGCTCTGTGTCGCTTTTGTAAGTAGCTATTTTTTCTTTCTGCTCCTTCTGAGCCTTCAGACAATCCTCCACCTTGATCTGAAGAGAAAATACAACTTTTGAGTTCCGTGAATAATTATCTTGGAGGGAAGACCCAGTTAGATGATAGATGCAATCCTCATAAATACATGGCAGTTGCCAAGCATCCAAATTTTGATCATGTGACCACAGGGATGCTTGCAATGATCACAAGGGTGAAAAACCTTATGACACTTTTTCCATTGCCGTTCTAACTTTGAACCGTACTAAATGAATGGTTCTAGGTCGGGGACTACTTGCAATGACATTAAATGGAGCTGCCTAAGTCTCCTGGTTGCAGCTATCCCAGAAGCATCACTGAGGAATGAAAGTTTGGGCTGATCCAGCAGGAGTGTTTTTCAGGGTCTGCACTCAAGATTTTGGAGGACTCCATGACAATTTGGCTCAAGAGCAAATGTGGAAAGGGAGCTGGTAGAAAGGGAGCCTATTTCCCTCTACAGGCAATTTCCTTTACTAAGCAAGACAGGGACACTGCAACCATCATTAATACTTGCCATTTGCCAATCACCCCAATTTGGATCAGTGACCACAGAGAGGCTACAATGGTCATAAGTGTGAAAACAGTTGTAAGTCACTTTTTTCAATGGTATTGTAACTTTGAACAGTCAGAAATTGAATGGTTCTAAGTCAAGGAATATGGTAAATCTGCCTTCAACAAATAGGAATATGAGAGGATGAAGCAGGAGGCGAAGCTCTCAGGCTGGAATCAGGGAAGTTTGTTAAAGGAATGGCCCAGGCAGAAAGCTGCAGAGGAGTCTAATAAGAGCAGGAACGAATGGGGGGGACACTGCTGCCTAGCAACAAGAAAATAACAAGGTAGTTAGAAGGATTCAGCTTAGAGGATGCTAGCTAAGGCACATAGACATACACTTTGGTAACTTACTATAATAATAAAATACACACCCCTTTTGATAAGAAAGCTTATTAGTATAAAATATGCAATTTATGAAGGAGGAGGAGAAAAGAAACTCATGTCTGAGAACCAATGAGTGATTCTTAGGGTGTTAACTTCCTGGATCTTAAGTGTGTAAAATTTCTATTTGTATGTGGTTAGGGGTCTCAGCTTTTTTTTAGCTCCTGAGATCTTTTTGCTAAAGTATTTCAATTAAATAATTCAATTGGAGGCTAAAACAAATGAAGAACGGTTGCAGGAACTGGGTATGTCCCGTCTAATGAAAAGAAGGATTAGGGAAGACATGATGATAGCAATCTTGCAATATCTCAGGGGCTGCCACAAAGATCTCCAAAACAGAACCTGCTGTCTGGTTCTGATTGGCTTCTGAGCCAGGCTAAACCCAGTTTGCCGAAAACAGAGGAAGCAAGTAAAGTGATCAAGGATTGACAGGAAGGCCAAGGATCTGGATGCTCTCCAACCGCAACGATTCCTCCTGGATGATTCCTACCTGGTATTCCCGGAAAGCCTCCTCCGCAGGGATCACCTGGTGGCCCCTGTGCTCTTTGGATCGGTCGCAGACCAAGCAGATGAGGGTCTCGTGGTGCTTACAAAAGAGCTTGAGGGGCTCCCGGTACTTCGGGCAGAAGCTCCCCCCTTCCTCGCCCGGATGACGGCTGCATCCCCTGGCCACTTCCACCATGCGCGCCAGCTGCTGGTTGGGGAGGACGCTGCGGGGCGCGAAGGTCTGTCTGCACTCGGGACAGGAAGCCTCCGATTCCGACGTCCCCCAACTGCGGGTCAGGCAGCCCCGGCAGAAGTTGTGGCCGCACTCCGGGATGAGCACGGGGTCCTGGAAAAGGTCCAGGCAAATGGAGCAGATGGCTTCTTCCAGCAAACCCTGCAAGGAGGCTCCGGCTGCCATCGCCCCTTCCAAAAGGAAAGAGAAAACTCTTTTCGCGCCTTTCCCTCCAAATCAGGTGACTCCCAGGCGGGAATCCGAAGTGAATTGGTGCTCCTGCGTTTGCCTTCGCTGGCTTCGTAAAGAACTGCAGTATTTTAAAAAGAACACATTGGAGAGGAGGAAAAATTCACGGGACGGAGCCCCGATCTATTATTATTAGCCCAACCAGCTCGTTAAAGGGGAAATACTTTTTACTGAAAAGGAAACATCCCTGGGATGAACCCAGATTAATTCCAATTGATCCCAGCATCTTGTTAAAGAGGAAGGTTTTAAAAACTGGGGAGAAGCCAACATTTGCTCCCCCCGATCAATTATAGATCCAAACATTCTGCTAAAGGAGAGGTGGGATACTCTCTGTAGTGCCGCCTTGTCCGGGGCTGTTGAACCAGCCTACCATACTGTTACACAGCATGCAAAGACACTTTCTATTGTGGACCGATAGAAAGAGGTCGTCAGCAGTTGTTCCACCTGATTTTTTCCAAAGACTCTAAGGAAATGGAGTCCCAGTGGAGCCTTCCTAACCACCAGGGAGGTGTTGTTTTTCCAGGTGAGGTCTTGACTAATAAGCACTCCCAAGAATTTGAAAGAGGAAACCCTCCCCACACAGCCCCCCCTTTATATACAGTGGGGCAGGTTCCTCTCTCTGCTTCCGGAAATCCAGCACCATCCATCTTAATGATCTCGTCCTGTGATGGCATCTTCTCATTTTTCCAGTTTTTAGCAAATACAATCCTAGCCGCTGTTAATACTTTTACAATCAGGTATTTCAACTATTTACTATATATTTCAGGTAAAATTCCCAATAAAAAAATCTGGTTTCAAGTCTATATGCTTATTTGTCATTTTTTTCCAGCCACGTGTGGATTTTAGTCCAATATTTTTTAGCATCCAGACATGTCCACCACATATGTTAATATGAGCCAGGTGTCTGATGACATTTCCAGCATTTTTCGGATTTATTTATTTATTTATTGTAAGTTTTATTTGAGTTTTCACAAAAAGAAAAGAAATACAAGTAAAACATCATTTTTAAAAGCAGCATAATCCCGGGTTATATTTCTTTGTACAGACACAAATTCAAGTTCATGCTCATTTTTATACTCCATTCCATATCCTATTAGTATTCTACATTTTCTACATAGCTTCTCCCCTCTTAACTTTCTTAATTTTATTTTATTTATTTCATCTCAATTCAAATCATTGTACTTATATTCTTTGTCTGTCCTGTTTCAACTATCTACTATCCTTTCTCATTAAACAGAATTTCTCCTGTAATCACTGATTGGAGTATGACGCCTTTATATCTTTCCCCTAAAATTATAACACTTAATAAAATACATAACTTCCATTCGGATTCTGCTTGGCACATTCTAAAACTACACATTGTATTCTTGAAAAAAGAAATATATATATATATGTATAATATAATTAAACAACAATCCATTCCAATTAAATTCTATCCTTAATATTAATATTCATTTCGATCTTAACATTTTGCACATTACTTTTCAAGTAAATATCATACTTCTATGGGAACAATAATAAACTTTCCATAGTTGATTCCCCCCCGCCTTCACTTATATTTTATAAAACATTGACTAATTAAAATGTTCCCGTTCCTTCCTAATTCAATTTTCTCATTTATTTTATTTCATTTATTTTATTCACAAACATTTCCCCAAACCACACCAACTACTTTATCCCCTTTTTAAATCATATGTTGTTTCCAATTTTCTAAAATTATTTCTATTACAAATATAACAATAAACAATACAATCTTATGTACCTTCACAGAATCCCTTTTTCAGATTTTCACCCATTATCTCTAAATAGGTCCTGTTTTATTACATCTTGCTCCAAACCTTTGTAACTTCTCTTCCTTTCCTTCTCCCCTCTCTTCTTCTCTCTCCCCTTTTTACCGCCCTATTTCTCCACCTCCATTTCCCTCTTCTGTATTCCCCTTTTCTGTTGCTTTCCAACATTATATCCACTTTTCAAATTATTTTTCTCTTCTTTGGCTGTTTTTTTAGGTCTTAAATTCTCCATTCTCTTTCCCCCATTTCCCTTTTCTTCCCCACATAGAGTTACTTGTTCATTAAAGATGGCTTCTTCTTTGTCCCAGTCTTCTTGTTTTGCAATCTTTTCTTGTTGTTTCTCATAGTTGCAGATCTCCATTTCTAAGAATTGAAAAACGAAGGCAAAAGAGCCCTTCCCTTCTTCTTTGTATTTTTTAAGTTCCATTTTCAATTCATCCAGAAGTGATGCCATTGTAAAAAAATTTAAACAACCACCCAATTGATTTTAATCATTCAAGTATAATAACCAAAAGGCCAAAAGTCACCAGACAGTCCAAATACACACAGCTGTTCCTTTTTATACTTTCTTTTTTTTCCACTTTCTCTTCCTGGGGTTACTATTAAGTTGCAATCTCAGTTAAAATGTATCTTTTAGAAATCTTGTTGAAGTTTTACTTTAGATTCTTTTGAAATCCAGGCAGTCTCCTCCCTCCAGATCCTGCCCTTATTCTTTTTCTCTCCCTTCCTGCTTATAAAAGAAAGTTTTTAATGTCCAGAAATCTTTATTGTCCCTTTGGCATTTAGTTATATTTTCAGCTTAATTGCCTATTGATGCCAAAGCGGATTTTTCAGATTTCTTATTCCGGTCTCTTAATTGTCAACGTAAGGAAGGAAAGAGAAGAAAAAAAAACCTTTCCCTTTTTACTTTCTCTTGCTGCTTCCGACCTTCTTTGGGAGCGATGTTATCTTTTGTAAAATTTAAATTCCAGGGTATCTTAATTGTTGTTTTTTCAACTTAACCCAGTCAGCCAAAACTTTCACTTCTTATCTTCCTCCTGCACTTTCTTTTCCGGTTGAGTTCTTCTTTGAGGCGGCCATTTCTGACTGCCGCCCCTACTGCCTTCGGGAAAGGGAGTTTGGCCAGCTGAGGAGGAGAGATGTGGCTCTCCTCGACCCTGCTGGCAGTCTCCCCCTTCTTCACCACCTCTACAGGGTGGCTTAGCCCCGAAGCCAGCTGGCTTGGGGCACTCCAGTGGCGAGCCCAGGCCGAAACCGTGCACGATCGTGGATTCCTGTCTGTCGCCGAAGCCCTTCAAACCGGAAGTTCCATTTTTTGGATTTATTCTTGAACATTCTTGCTATTCTTGTCAGGGAAAGTGCCACCTGTAAAACATCTTATACAAATTTTCTTTATATGCTGTTGACATTGCCCCTGCCCCTTCTCCAGCCCCCAGCAGCTGCCCCTCTGCCCCTTCTCCAGCCCCCTGCAGCAAGGGGGTGAGATACCAGCACACTGCTGGGGTCCAAGCAAGAGTGAAGGAACCTTCCCCAACCCAACTAAGGGTCAATTCAGTGACCAATCAGGATTACAGATGTGACCACATGACATGAACTATATTTCCTAGGATGCCTTGACTACATTTACCATGATGCATTCCGTTATAGGGACAGCTCACAATTCCTAACTAACTATCCCAAATCCCATTAACTCTAAACCGTCTGGACAGCACACAAATAGTTGTCCAATCTCTGCTTAAAATCCTCCTGTTAGAGCAATGATGGCCAAACAAATCCAGTCAGGGTTTTGCTGGCTTTAAAAAGGCTTTGTCAGACCAGCCACAACTTCACAGAAACAATCCTTGGTTCCATCTGTTGAGAAAGGTATATAGTTATTTTTTTCCAAAAATTTTATTAATTTTTAAAAAACAAACATATACAAACAAAACACAAAACATGAAAAACATAAAACATCTTTTTTGAAAGCAGCTTGATCCTGGGTTACATCTCTTCGTACAGACATAAATTCAAGTTCATGCTCACTTTTATATACCATTCCATATCTTATTACCATTCTACATTTTTTATATAGCTTCTCCCCTCTTTTCACTCTCTTAATTCTATTTTATTTATTTCATCTTAATTTAAATCATTATACTTATATCCTTTGTCCTGTTTCAGCTGTCTATTATCTTTTCTCATTAACACAAAATTTGTCCTGTTATCAGTGATTGGAGTATGACGTCTTTATATCTTTCCCCTAAATTTAACACTTAATATAATACATAACTTTCATTCGGATTCTACTTAGTACATTCTAAAGCTATTTTAAGAAAAGAAAAAATTATAAATATATAATATAAATATATAGTATAATTAAAACAACAATCCATACCAATTGAACTCTATTATTAAAATTAATATTCATTTAAATCTTAAACATTTTACACATTCCTTTTCAAATAGGTATGATGCTTCTATGGGAACAGTTATAAATTTTACGTAGTTACTTCCCTCCCATTTCACTTATATTTTAAAACATTATGTAATTAAAATATTCCCATTCCTTCTTAAATCAATTCTCTCATATTTCATTTCATTTATTTTGTTCAAGAAAAAAAAAGTTTCACTGAATTACACTGAATATTTTAACCCATTTTATAATCATGTTTTTCCAATTTTCTAACATTATTTCTAATTCAAATACAACAATAGTCTTATGTACCTTTGCAGAATCTCATTTTTAGTTATATTTTACCCATTATCTCTAAATAAATCCTGTTTCTTTACATCTTGTTTCAAACCTTTGTAGCTTCTCTTCCCATCCTTCCTCCCTTGCTTCTTCATTCTGCCCTTTTTACCCCCTTGTCTCTCCATCTCCATTTCCCTCTTCTGTATTCCTCTTTTCTGTTGCATTCTAACATTATATCCACTTCTCACCTTATTTTTCCCTTTTTGGGTTGTTTTTTAGGTCTTAAATTCTCCATTCTCTTCCCCCCCCCTTTCCCCTTTCTTCCCCAGATAAAGTTACTTGTTCATTAAAGATGGCTTCTTCTTTGTCCCAATCTTCTTGTTCTTGTAGTTTCTCATATGTGGAAATCGCCATTTCTAAAAAATGAAAAACAGATCCAAAAGAGCCCTTCCCTTCTTGTTCCTCTTCTTTATATTTTTT